CAGACTCCCGGCCTCCCGATGTTGTCTTGTGCACGGACGCTTCCGGCAGTTGGAGCTGCGGAGTGTTTTGGAAAACACTGTGGTTCCAGGTTCAATGGTGCGGCCTGTCCATCGCGGGACAGTCTATAGTAGCGAAGGAGCTGTTCCCAATCGTGTTGGCGTCTCTCCTGTGGGGTAGGACATGGCATGGTCTGACGGTGCTTTGTCGATGCAACAATGGGGCGGTCGTCGAGGTCGTCAACCGACAATCGGCGCGCGACCCTCTCCTGCGTCACCTCCTCAGGTGTCTGTTTTATGCCAGCGCACGCTTCGACTTCGAAATTTCGGCGCAGCATACTCCAGGGGCATCTAATGTGGCAGCGGATGCACTCGCAATAACCTCTGCCTCTTTTTCGTGCAGGTGCCGCATGTCGTCTATCAGCCCGCAGTCATCCCTCCGAAGTTACCGCAGCACTTGAGCCAAGCCCGCCCCGCCTGGACCTCGCGAGATTGGATCGACTGGTTCAGGGTTTTCTGCAGCACGCTCTAGCGCCGGCTACACGTCGGAAATACGGGTCGGCCCAATCTCGTTATTTGTCCTTTTGTGCACTTTTTTCTGTTGCTCCATTACCCTTGTGCCAAGACACCCTTATGAGGTTCATTGTGTGGCTGGTGACGCAGGGTCTCGCCCACTCAACCATAAAAGGCTATTTATCGGGGATTTGGCAGCTGCACCTACTGTGGTACGGGGTTGAGCCGGACTTCGAAAATATGCCATTACTCCAGGCAGTTCTAAAAGGAGTGAAGAGGCTGCAAGCAGCGACTGTCAGCTGCCCACGTCTACCAATAACGAGTGCCGTCCTGAGATCGCTCCGATTAGCTTGGGAACGATCATCCGAGGCAGCACCCTACGATACTCGGATGCTGTGGGCAGTCGCCTGTACCTGCTTCTTCGGGTTCTTAAGATCGGGCGAGGCGACGGTGCCGACATTGACAGGCTACAATCCGGGAGTTCACCTATCCATAATAGACGTAGCAATCGACTCCCGGGAGGCCCCGTCTATGGTGTCGTTGTGAATCAAGGCGTCCAAGACAGACCTTTCCCGTGCAAATATTACTTCCCTAGCACTGCACCAGTTGGTAGCTAACACTGGGGGACTTAACCAGGGTTCGGAGGGATAGTAAGCTATCCCTGAGGCTAAACCCAGGGTTCGGATGGATACTAAGCCATCCCTGAGGCTAACGCTAGCCACTTACCCAGGGTTCGGAGGGATAGTAAGCTATCCCTGAGGCTAACGCTAGCCACTTACCCAGGGTTCGGAGGGAAGTAAGCTATCCCTGAGGCTAACACTAGCAGTTACCCATGGTTTGGAGGGATAGTAAGCTATCCCTGGTGGATAAAGAGGCTATACCGAGGGTGCGGAGGAATAGTAAGCTACCCTGAGGGCTTTGGGTATAAAAGAGAGAAGAGTTTGGGGATGATCCATCCAAGTGTTTCCTCGGAAATCCAGAGACCTCCAGAGAGTGCATCATCCTCGTTCTACAGCCAACTTCATCCGGACCTCCAGAGACCTGCGGAGACTGCTCTCCATTGAAACCTCCGAAGAATCTCCAAGAGGTTAGTAGTGAAAACAATAATAAGGATGCAAGTTGTTCAGGATACTCATGTTTTTATTTGTATAGTTGGCACAAGACAGACTGGTGGCGGAGATGACGGAGTTGAACTTGAGGCCTATTGAGATAGCACCCAGGGAGGAAGAACAAACTCACCCTGTGGATACAAAACAATTACTAACCACCTTACTTATCTTGTATTATCTTCATATTGTCTGTCATTGTCATCTTTTGTATTATCAGCATTCCTACATTGTACCCTAAGGGACACCTACAAACAACCCCAGCTCGAAAGGCATCCTTCAATTCGTCGTCCCTATTATAAGGGAATATATATATGTTATGTACTACGTGCGAGGGACATACCGGATTTCAATGAACCCGAGGGCCTCCGCGTTTGTAGTGTCCCGAGCGCAGCGAGGGCACTACGCGGAGGGCCCAAGGGTTCATTGAAATCCGGTATGTCCCGAGTATACGGAGTGCATAACATGTTTAGTGCAGAGCCCTAGCTAGCTCGCTCAAGCCACCTAGTCTGTTTCCATGGCACACAAAATTAAAAAACCAACCACACTGCATCGAGTCGAGTTTGCGTGAAAAATGGAGCTAGAAGACTTGCTCTCTTGCGCTGAACTACAGTTCTGTACGAACAGCGAGAAAGAAGTGCGCTATGAACCAAGTGGTGAACTGCAAGCGGCTACTACCAGCAACCCTCCGCGACTCCAGCCGGCACCCGTCCTTCCAACGCGTGACCCCACCCAAAACAGTTCTACTCCGCCTCCGCCCGAACCGTCGTCTGCAAACCAGCCCAACCCCCACAAGCGTTTCGTACCTCCGGCGTCTGCAAACCAGCCCCACCCCCACAAGCGTTTCGCACCTCCCGTCACCAACGAAGAAATACAACGAAGGCGCTCCGACTCCATTCCGCTAAGTACTGCAGCAGACACTAAGTACTGCACTAGAGTTTGGCTGGAATGGAGCGACTACCATGCTAAAACCCACAATTCTGAAGTTCCACCACTAACCTCCATTTCGCCTTCTCAGTTTTGCTACTGGCTCATACGGTTTGTGCTAGAGGTGCGCAAAAAGGACGGAGCAGAATATCCACCTCAGACTCTTCACCACCTCTGTAGCGGGCTACTGAGGCATTTGCGTCAAAACGGGCACCCAACACTCGACATCTTCAAGGACAGTTCGTTCGCGGAGTTCCGTTCGACGCTTGACGCAGAGATGAAGCGTCTCCAACACAAGGGTCTCGGGTCTACGAGGAGACAAGCGGAGCCGCTGACTGAGGAGGAAGAGGAGGTCCTATGGGAGAAGGGATTGCTTGGAGACCACAGTCCACAGGCACTGCTAAACACTATGGTTTACATGAACGGTGTCTACTTCGCGTTGCGTAGTGGAAAAGAGCACCGAGAATTGAGGTTCAATTCCTCCCAGATCTCCCTCATAGAACGTGATGGAGAGCGACCGTTCCCTCAGTGTACGAGTCGAAGAACCGACCAGGAGGGCTGAAAGGGTGTCGAATTGGACGCAAGGTCGTGAAACATCATGCCAACGTCTCCAATCCACCTCGCTGCTTTGTGCGGCTCTACTCCCTTTACAAAAGTCGCTGTCCTTCCACTCCTAAGCGCAACTCTTTTTACCTTCAGTGTCTCAAAAAGCCAACTGACACACAATGGTTTTCCAACGAGCCCCTTGGACATAACACACTCTCTAAAGCTGTTTCGTCCATGTGCAGAGCGGCAGGGATTGCAGGCTTTCGTACGAATCACTCTCTGCGAGCAACAAGTGCAACTCGTCTCTATGCCGCTGGAACAGAAGAGCAGCTGATAATGGAGCGTACAGGTCATCGTAGTATTGAGGGAGTTCACTCGTATAAACGCACATCAGAGCAGCAGGAACAGTCTGTGTCAGACACCCTTAGCCTCTCCAAAAGGCCAAAAACAGCACCTCCAACTACCTCCAGTGAACCTACACCTGCGTTAACTGAAATAACCAACCACCATCCTCACATCACCCAAGCCACTTCTAACACCATGGTTATGTCTGCTTCTATGCCAGCATCATTTAGCTTCAGCTCATGCCAATCCATTGTAATCAACTTCAACAAATAAGCCTTGTGATGATTTATGTACACTATCCACCCACATCCACCAAGTGTAAAATCATTTTTAGCTATCACTCATCATCAGGAGCCGTCTTCTACTGTAATACATGTTTAACATGAAAATAACAAATGGTTGTTGAAAATGTACATGAAAACAAGGTTTCATGTAAAAAAAACAAGGTTTCATATCATGTTTTCATGTTACTTTTGTTAGTTCACGAGGTTCATATGAGAAATCAGGAACCTCGTACTAACAAATCTGATTGGTCGATTCGAATCAGCTATGCACTAACCTAAGGGAGGGTAGTGTTATGGCACTTATGGTATTAAGTAACCCCAAGTAAAGGAACCATTGGGGACTCTATATCAATCCTTAGGGATAAAACCCTGCATTGAAAAAGCCCATAGGGATCAGGGTTTGCTTTAGTTATTTTCTGAGGGGTCCATCATAGTATTCAGGAAATATATAGCCATAATCCTGAGGGAGAAGTTTGTTTGTATCCATAGGGTAGTAGACCCTTTCAGACTTACATTTTTTGCTGGGGATCGTTTAGTCGCGTTGTTTAGTTGCTTAGTTTATTTAGCATTAGATCTCCTGCAAAATGATATAACTAGTGTAAGGAGAAAATCTAAGATAGTTGAGCATATACATGCAGCTGGTGCAACTGTGAACTACAGTTGTCAAAGAATAAGCTTTGGTGACTATCTTTTTCAGAAGTGGTTGCTGTATCCCAGATATTCGCAGCTTGCTGCTCTCTCAGAATTGTCAGTATATATAGTATGATTTGTGGTCACTAATAACGTAGCTTGCCCACGCACACCACACGTATGCACAACTCACAGCTCTAGCTAGCTGCTACGCGCGAGCCCACACGCCACACACAAGCAAGCTAGCTACGCCCCCTAACGCACACACGTGATGCCCGCCATCCCTGCGCGAGATACGCCTACTCAGGATACAACCCAGACTCACGCATGAAGAAGATGTGATGTAGTGGTGTGATGTAATGGTGATGTATATACAATAATTTATTCTACTTTCCTGATCAGTCGGCTATATTTATCCTGTATTTCTACCTTGCTCCTATTCTGCAATACTCGGTGTATATTGATTATCCCCTGGCACGTCTTGCGTGAAGGGATTTGATGATGTGCAATGATCTTGATTTCCTCTCTCAAGACATTTAGTGTAGGCTTATAACAATGCAGTATATTATAGATATAATGACTGTGGAAACAGTAGTAAAAGAACATTATACCTACAGTAAAACAATAGCATAACTATAATAAGGCAGGCTTATAACATGCAGTATGCTCTACATTGACTCTATTATAACGGCAATATAACGTGAGGATATCATGAAAAAACGATCCTATAACACAATGCACTTTTATATTATGCATCATACTGAAAAGTCATATTTATGTAAGCTGTATAGTCACATTCCAATTCTAGTCTAGTCCACAGAGCTGTTGGCATCATCTTCATCACTGGACAGCTCATTCTCGATAGTTTCGTTGACGCTTTCACCGGGCTGCTCTGGTTTCACCATCCACGATGGAATGCCAGCAGGGGGTGCTTTCTGAATCGGTTCACCATATGTACGGGGCTTTGCCAAGGAATTCGGATGTTTTTCCTTGAATCGTCTCTCGAGTTTTTCCAAAAACCGATTCAGAGTGTTGGATCTCCAAGATGGCTTATGCCTAATGAACGAACCGCCCTCTTCCTCTTCCTCTGACATCATATCGGGTGTTATAAACTTCCAGTTCTTCGCCTCTTTAGCTTTAACTGTTCTTGTCCGTCTCTCATAAATCTGGAGAAATCAAAGGAAGACAGCATAATCCATAAACACACACCCTTTACACTTGAAGTACAACTCAACCAAAAATGGGAGTAAGCCTGCGCTTACTTTATGTAGTGGCCACGGTAGAATAATTATGTAGGCTGCCTATTAATTTTACACAAGTGTTAGCAATGCACGTCATAAAGGGCAAAACTCTTGTACTTGGTGTATATCTTACCCAGCATACAGGAGTTACCGACCAAGTAGCGACCACATTTGTTGTTTTTGCATGTGAGGAGTAGGAAATAGAGAGGCACAAACATAACACTCACAAACCCTGCACACAGATAAGGGTTACATACATTATTCACAGAGCTTTACCCTTTGTTGTCGAGATCGGATTCTGACTCTATGTTGAACAGCTGGAGGACGGACATGACGAGTATCCCTTAGATATTTCATGTGCGATTTCACTGCAGCTGTGTATACAGTATAATATACATACATTATCACACAAAAAGTGGTAAACAAACCTTCCATTTGCTTTTCTGTAAATTTAGAATCTCCTATCTCCTTGATTATGCTAGCAATCACAGCTTTGTTATGTTACCATCAATCTACCATACCTTTCTTCCAAAATAAGTTGGTTATCATCACTTAGAGACCCATGCACCTTTCGAACTTCATACTGCAAGAACAGCATTGGTTAACACATGTGTGTTAAATGTGCACCACAATGAGCATACCTGAAGCTCAGGAGGGCTTCGTCGTTACGACTGAGCTCATTTTCTGAAGACGACGAAGTACGTGTATTTGCGATGTTAACAACCTCTTGTTGCTTTTCCTCTACACCCGTTATTCGAGCCTCTAAATCTCAAAGCCTCCCTTTCACATCATCATGCTAGAAAAGGAGGTGAGTGTCGTCCTCAGTTGGTACAGGTCCGTCCCAATCAGTGCCATAGAACTCCATGTTATCAGCCTGTACATTATTATAGAGAGTAGATAGCTACACAGGCATTACAGAGCTTGGTCATAAGGGTTTCGACAACTACCATGCCATTGGGCAGAAAGCTCATGCTCACTGCTTAGTGACTACTAACACACACAACAATGTTGTTTGATAAAATACTGCATTTGGTAGACTCAGCGTTGTGCATAATACTTCTGTGCACATACAAGCATGTAGAAAAGAGGGGGATGGGTTAGCTTACTTGGACACTGCTGGCTTATGCAGACTCTGGATTTTGGAATTGCATACTCCTCAAGCCAAGAATCCACAGCTGCATTGGAGTTTTATTTCTCTCCGTTCGTAGGGGGTGATGAGCCCACCCTTCTCTGAAGGTATCCAACTGACGCTGAATGATGGGAAGAAACAT